GGAACTGGTTGATTCCATTGTCAACCAACACCTGAATGCGTGTGAACGTCTGTGTGACTCCATCTTGTCCGATGCATCACATCCTTTACACACAGCCCTATCTAGCTTCTGTAACCCGCAATAAATTTGAACCTCTATATACTCGTACCACTGCTTTTCACAACTCCGTTGTACCTTACTTTTCACGTTTGTTGGTTTCTAGGGAACGAATATCAAAAGAACTTATACACAGTCTAATGTAAATTTTCACGCTGAATTTTTTTTAATTTTTTACGTGTCATCAGTGTCCCCTTTATTATTATCTTTGAACTCATTTTTAAAAGCACGTATGCCAAAACAAAAATAACATTCTTTTGACTGAAAATTCTGTCCATACTGGATGAATATATATATATATATATATTTCATAATAAGTAGTATGTTCTGATTTCCCGTTTTCTATTCGAGGATGACAAAATAGTGATGCAAACTTATTGAACAGCACAGAACTACTGGCATCGTCAAATCAATCTTACCCGGGTCCACCGAGGTGATGGCTTCCATGAAAGCGGCAATTTGTTCCCGTGCGCCCCGTGGCTTGAGCAGCTCCACACGTTTTAACCAGTCGGAAACGTTGTGCGGATTCTGACGAAGAAGCACACTATTCAGGAGCAATGGTCGTTGATCCATGAGCGATTCTAGTCGAGCCAGATACAACTCGACCTCTAATTCATCTATGTGAAGAATGAATTGAGGAGGGTAATGAGAAGGAAACAGTTTACCAGAGTGTCTTTGAGCATCATTATTCTGGTAAGAAAGTTGCATTCGATCGAAGATCTGGACGGTATGCCCACGCAGTAGCTCAGAGGTTTGAATGCACACACATCGACGAGATCCATCAAAAAAGTCACAACGTGTTTGCTAGCCGAACTCCAACTTCGTGATTTACATTTCTATCGCTAATTTACTAAAATTTTAATACCCTTTTCATGGCTTCTATCTCAGAGACTCGAGTTTTGCATAAATTAAGCAGTAAATAGTTGTCCCCAAGCAGCAAAAACCGCATCATCATTA